GAAAAAAAGAAAATTCGAGTTCATATTCCTGGAATCGAACCCGGGCACATTCGAATGCAAACTGCAAATCCATACCGCTAATAGTACCAAATGCACAATTGTAATAAACTACGTTGCTAAAATTCATAGGTTTATTTTTTTATGTACACACATCAAGATACAGAAGCAGTCTTATCGTAAGTTTGTACAAAGGTTCTACTTATTCCATAATTTGCTAAAATATCTTCCAGTACACCCATAAAGGAAATTATATTTAAATGGCAAACTTAGTACATACATGACTACTACTAATGAATAAATAATATACAAAATGTTACGAAAATTATATAAAATAAAACAATAAATAAAAATAAAATAAATCAGTAATTTAGTTCAGTTTATTGTTTTTCAGTTTAGTGTTGTAAAAGTAAATATTTATTATTTAGTAATAATTAAATGTTATAGCAATAAGTAAAACCTTTTAATATCATTCATTTGTCCGGCGTTTGATTTATATGAACGTTTTTTACTCTTCCTACCCTTCCGGGTTGCTTTTATGTCCCATATTTACAAATGGTAATTATTAACAAGGTACCTTACTACGCTATTTTAACTTTAAATCGGCATATATACGAAAAAAGAATATTTATGGAAAGAAAAATATTTATGAAACATTGATTTTAAAAATAAAATTATACAAATACATTAAACAATTTTTACGTAAATACTACGGCAAAAAGAGCGACACGTTCACATACCATCAGGGCCTCGGCCGCAGTGCATTGAGTAGAGTAATATACCGTAGTGTCTGTACACCGACGTTTACACACATCCGTACGTATTATTTCAGAAATAAGAATATGCGATTTAAAATAAAAACTATTAATTGGACTAAAAGAATTAAAACAACAATAAATTAATATGTAGCTTGTATAATAATCTGACAAAATCAGAATGATTGCATGTATATTAGTATGGTTTTTACTCGTTAAAAGAAATTTTTAGAGGTATCTTTTTGACTTTTTTTCTATCGTATCAAATAAGTAGTATCATGTTTTCAACACAACAGTTAACTAGCATATATCAAGAAAAACATCATATATTTTTCTGTTTTTGTTTAATGCAGTGTATCATATACTTTGACGCATTATAAAACTTGCATTTAGCTCCTGTAGTCCCCTTAAAGCAGAGCCTAAGTGGGTAAAAGGAACAAAAAAACTAAGAATCTACTTAAGTAATAGCTACAATAGATAGTAATACCAAGTGAAATAAAAGGATTTATATCATATTTTTTATTTATTAAACAAAATATTTAATAAAAAAATTATAAAAATGTTATTCTAATAAGAAATCGAAATTTAAACAAAATGTGATGTTATATTTTTCGCAAGTAATCGTTGATGTGCTGAAAAAAAACTCAATATTTGAATAATCAGCTAATAAACTAATTTATTTACTAACCCATCTTAAACCATCTTAAACTTAATAATAAAATTGGAATAACCAAAATAAGCGGTGAGCTGAAGTTAGGGAAATCTGGAATAGGGCAACGGAACCCAAGGGGCCAGCAGCTTTCCGACTTCATGGAAAAAGAGGGACTCTTTATGAGTAATTCTTTTTTCCAGAAGCGGCCCCACAGAAAGTGGACCTGGTCGAGTCCCGACGGTTCGACAAAAAATGAGATTGACTTCATTATGACAACCGGACACCAACTGTTCAGTGATCGCGAGGGTGAAAACTGGCAGCGATCACCGAATGGTTAGAGGCACACTGAACTTAAGCGTTAAATTGGAGAGGTCTCGTATAATGAAGTCAACGCTCCGTCCCCCTCGTGCTCTGATCCAGAATCCCGAAACTTTTCAGCTCGAGTTACAAAACCGCTTTCAGTGCCTAGATGACTGCTGATGATACAGTGGACGATATGAATGACAAGCTCATGAAAACTGTCCATGCGGAGATAAGTTCTACAAGAACCGCCGCAGAAGAACACAAAAATTTTCCGATCACACTCTTAATCTCATGGATGTTAGACGGGAGCTGCAGTCGTCAGCACATTTGACAGCATACAGGAACTGAACAGACAGATCTCCAAATGCATGCGGCACTTACTCAACTTCAATACAGCTCGTATTGAAGAAGCGATTGAGCGGAGCCCTGGTGGCTTTAAAGTCTTTGCCAGAGATCTATCGGGCGGAAAGAGCTAACTGTCAAAGCTGAAGACTGAATGTGGCGGCATAGTTTCTGGGACACCTGAGATTTTGAGTGAGATTGAGAGGTTCTATGGGCAGCTGTATACATCATCGTTGGAGTCATACGCAAGTATGAGTAACAATCCAAGAGCAAGTCTTTTCCGACACTATTCCGATGACATCCCGGACGTCAGTCTGAGTGAGATAAGAATGGCTCTCCAGCAACTTAAAAACGGCAAGACCCCGGGCGAGGATGGAATTACAGCGGAGCTTCTGAAAGCGGGTGGAACACCGGTACTTAAAGTATTTTAGAAGCTCTTTAATTCCGTCCTCCATGGTGGCACTACTATCGAGGCATGGAGCAGAAGACCGGTGGTCTTGTTCTTCAAGAAAGGTGACAACGTTTTCTTGAAGAACTACAGACCGTTATCCCTTCTGAACCACGTCTACGTGCTGTTTTCGAGAGTCATTACGAATCGTCTCGCACGCAGGTTCAACGACATCCAAGCCTCCCGAACAAGCCAGTTTTCGAAAAGGCTTTAGCACCATAGACCACATACATAGCCTTCGGCAAATTGTACAGAAGTCCGAAGAGTACAATCTGCCATTTTGCCTGGCGTATGTGGACTGTGAGAAAGCCTTTGATTCCGTCGAAATTTGGGCGGTGCTACAGTCTTTTCAGTGGTGCCAAATTGACTGTCCGTATATCGAAGTGCTGAAGTGTTTGTACAGTAGGGCTACGATGACTATCCGAGTACAGAACCAGAGTACGAAACCTATCCAACTGCAGAGAGGTGTAAGACAGGGTGACGTTATATCCCCGAAACTCTTTACCGCTGCATTGGAAGACGTTTTCAGCTACTGGACTGGAAAGTATACGGTATTAACATCAATGGCGAGTACATCACTCACCTTCGGTTTGCCGTCGATACAGTCCTTATGGCAGAATCGCTGGAGGACCTAAGCGCTATGCTCAATGACCTCAATTACTAAGGGAGGTACTCCTCCCAACGGATAGTTCTTAAGATGAACGTGGACAAAACAAAGATCATGTTTAATGTTTATGTCACACTTATGCCGGTAGTTGTTGGGAGCACTAAGCTCGAAGTTGTTGACGAGTACGTTTACCTGGGACAAATAGTCCGACTAGGTAAATCCAACTTCGACCGAGAGGTCAAACGACGGATTCAACTCGGCTGGGCAGCGTTCGGGAAATTACGTTACATCTTCTCATCAGGTATACCTCAAAACCTGAAAACAAAATTGTACAACCAGTGCGTGTTGCCAGTGATGACATATGGAACTAAGACATAGTCCTTTACTGCTGGCCGTATGAGGACACTCAAAATCGCTCAGCGAGCTATGGAGAGGGCTTTGCTCAGGGTTTCTCTGCGTGATAAACTTAGAAATGTGGATATTCGCAGTAGAACCACAGTGACTTACATAGCCCAACGGATTAGTAAGCTGAAGTGGCAGTAAGCCGGCCATATAGCTCGAATAACCGACAACCGTTGGGGAAAAAAGGTTCTCGAGTGGCAGCCTCGTACCGGTAAGCGAAATGTCGGGCGACCCCCCACTAGATAGAGTGACGACCTGGTAAGACATGCAGGAAGTCGATGGATGCAGGTGGCTCAAGACTGTGCTTTGTGGCATACCTTGGGAGAGGCCTATGTTCAGCAGTGGACCTGTGAAGGCCTGTAATGATGATGATAATGATGAACCAAAATAACAACATATTTTTCCCACCAGAACTCAAAAATGAAATAATTGACATTCTTAAGTATTAATTACTTGGCATGTAACTTCAGTCATTTAAAATTATTGCTAATAAAACTGAAACAATTTTTTTTTCAAAAAAAAAAAAAAAAACATATTTTTTTATAATAATACAATTAAAATAACCACTAAATTTAATATTGAAATAATTGTTTTTGTTCCAAAATTCAATGCACCCAGTGGGGTCATAGTTAGTGTCCCGCTGGGAATATTGAAGACATTTTTAAAGTAAAATGTCGATATCGTCTTCCTGGTCAGTTTCAGGAAGAATGTCTTTAACAGTTCCTTAAGACGGTAGATCGAAATACTCCTCATGAAAAATATAGTAAACTGCTTTCTGCACATTTTTTTTTCTTTTGATTGGAATCGGTAGTGCACATCTTACAATCCAGTCTTTTTGACGTTGAACATCTAGAGTCAAAAAATATTTAAATAGGCCCATTCTTCTATCCTCTGATACTTTGTAACATTTTCTAGCACATACATTTTTTTTTCGTTGACTTCTCTTCTATTATACTTCCTGATCTTATTTCATACGACATAATAGCATTTTTTTGTTTTTTGTTAAGCTTACGTTTGTTTTCCTTTTTGGTTTTTGTCTTTAAGTTTTCTATGGTAATGGTCCCCTTTTGGTTCTTATCTGTTACTTTTTGCTTTTTATGGTACACTTTTTTATTTTCACTATTTGAATTCTCGGACTCATTCATGTTCCAATGGTGGTGAAGGGTCTTCATTATGAGAAAAATAATCAACTTAGGAATTAAATATTTTATTAGAAATTTATTACTATGTTTGAGGTGGTCAGAATTCATATTATCATAATCTTTGGTGTCAGTTGTAGGATCAAAAAAAAAAAAGATTTTAATTGAGTGATTGATGAAATAATGTAGTTGGTCAACGTAGTCTGTTACTATTTCAGTGCAAGAAATGTCATGAGAATGATGCGCCCGTGGCTCATGTATAACGTCAGGAGAAGTAGTCTGGGTAATCTTGGCATGTCCTGGATAACGTAAGCGGTAAGTGCTTTGTCAATAGGAGTAGTCTAAGTGATCTTCATTATTTCAGGTTCAGGTGCAAAGACAACATCACCCTGGCTATGTTCTGGATAACGTCACAGGTAAGTACCTCGTCAATAGGATTAGTCTCAGTAATCTTCTTCGTTTCAGGTTCGGGCGCAAAGTCAACATCACGCAGAGACATGTCCTGAATAACGTCAGCAGTAAGTACCTCGTCAATAGGATTAATCTCAGTAATCTTCTTTGTTTCAGGTTCAGGCGCAAAGACAACATCACGCGGAGGCATGTCCTGAATAACGTCAGCAGTAAGTACCTCGTCAATAGGATTAATCTCAGTAATCTTCTTTGTTTCAGGTTCAGGCGCAAAGACAACATCACGCGGAGGCATGTCCTGCATAACGTCAGCGGTAAGTAACTCGTCAATAGGATTAATCTCAGTAATCTTCTTTGTTTCAGGTTCAGGCGCAAAGACAACATCACGCGGAGGCATGTCCTGCATAACGTCAGCGGTAAGTAACTCGTCAATAGGATTAGTCTGAGTAATCTTTTTTGTTTCAGGTTCAGGCGCAAAGACAACATCAATCGGAGATATGTTCTGGAGGTGTACGCTGCACACGTTTGATGTCGCAGTAGCACTTTTGACAAGATACAGCACGTGGCAAAGCGGCGCGACACAAAGGTGACCGTATCTTAGTGAAAAGACTATAAACGCCTTGTTCGGGTGTTTTCGCTACTCGGCCCGAGTATTCGCCAGTTTTCCACTCTATGTCGGCCGTGAAAGAAACTCTCGTGTGTATACATGTTGGTATTTCCATACTTGTCATTATTCGCTTGACTCGTAAACTTTGTCACAGGTTGTTATAATTTTTGTTATAAAATAATTAAAATAATAATATTAACAAAAATATCTATCTACAGTGATGGTTTGGAGTAACGAATCTGTTATATTAATAGAACTTTATCAAGGGGAACCTAAAATCACCATGGGAACCTAGAAATCGGATTTCAATAAATACATATTAATGAAAATAAATATTTCATCACATCAAATTACAGCCTTTCACAAGTCCACTGCTGAACATAGACCTCCCTCAAGGAATGCCAAAAAGCACGGTCCTGAGTCATCTACATCCACCTTCTTCCAGCATGTATTGTCTGCTCGTCACTCCATCTAGAGGGGGGCTACCCCACACCCTCCAAATAAATATTTATGAGACTATAAATATCAAATAGACATAAAGTCGTGGTAACGAGACGGACGTCATCCATGCTTAAAAGATCTACGTTGAACGAATAAGGACGAACATGTAAACGCGCGACGTTCTCTTCCACGAATAACTTGACAAGTTACTCGCCGAGTTGCTGGTGCCGATAATCTAAACATGCCATTACTAACTAGTGGATCATGTGGAAGCTGTGACTTTAGTGTGGATTACAACCCGCACGCCGACGGCGCAAATATGTCTTGATTATCGACGTACAAGAGGCATTTGACGGCTAACTCCAAACAACTTTGCAAAACAAATTAAACATACTCGTAAGCTACACAGCCATGTCTAGTAACTTTATTTATTTCAAACCAGGCCCGATTAATCCTGACATCAGCTATACACACCCTACGAGAACCTACCCTACTCGTATATGAAGATTTTAATGCTTGTACCTGGCTAGCGCTCAAACTAAACGAGGCCGTTGTATTTCATAAAGCTGCGCTGTCCACTTACACTGTCAAACGCCTTTTTCAAGTCTTAAAACGCACAGAAAACGCTGGTTTTTGGCCGAAAACTTCTTTTTGGACATGCGTAATGTTCCAAATATATAACGTTAAATTAAATTTGTTTCGATAGCAAAATGTTATATGAATATAAAAAACAAGTATCGTAGTAAACACGTGATTCTCCACAAACAATCGAGGGAAATATATATATTATACTTATATATGTATATATATTTAGCATTATACTGCTGGCTCTGTAGAAAGACCGTCAATCTAATTAAAAGCTATCATTCCAAGCCGAGTTAACTCATTAAGACCAAGAAACAAAACCTTCTTACCAACCACGTAAAATCAAAGATAATTTGAGTATCAATGAAGATAATGGATGTTAACTGCACGACGTAAATAAAGCAGCCCGATATGTAAAGCGACGTTGTATAGAAATTGCCATACCTAACAGTCCTTTAGTAATGATAATGAATTTCAATCAAAGATTTACTTTAGAGAATACTCGTTTGTATATTATAATTTTATGAGTAATAATGTATTAGAAAGTATAGCGGAAGATGTGGTATTGTGCTCAATATAAAAATTAATATTAGTGTGTATTATTGACCTTAATATAATATTAATAATCTATAAATATTAGTAAGGAAATTTTAAATATAGGCCGGTATTCGTAGCAAATATTAAAGCTAAACATTCACTACAATTTCAATCAAAATTTCTAAATCATATTATTTTGTTACGCAAAAGTACACCTTCTCATATATTATTTTATTGTAGTTTTATTGTAGCAATAAAGTGTCAGTTACGCTTCAACAAGAAATTTACTAAAAAGCAATTTTCTAGTCTTTCTTGAATAGCACGACAGTTTTCTTAGATAAAGGAGAAATGTACCTAATGTTTATTATTTGCGCATATCACAGCCCAAGGCACGCGACATTAATTTCTAACCGTAGTCTTTTGTCTGGAGAAGTATGAATTACAAAACCGCGAAAATTATGATCATACCGTAACAATACAAGATAAGAAATAACGGATAAATTAAAAACAATATCTGTAGTATAATGCAATCTTGTTTTGTAATGTTTTTATGATGATAAGTTTTATTCTGTCGGATTCAAAATACCTAGTATATAGTAATAGTATTGGTACTGTTCTATTCATAATTTTGCTACATTCTACTCGCACAATCTGGACAGTTTCGGTTGTTCTTTGGATATGTTAAGTAAAAATAGTGCGTAAAATGAAAACAATATGCACTTACAACACAAAAACCGGGGTTTGTACTCATCAATGGAATATTTAAAGATGCTAACCTTCTATTTAATTAACCAAAATCTAATACCAGACTTAACTTTTTTTATAATTCTTTCTTGTTATATTATAGAATAGGGGTAACAAATGAGCACACAGTCCATCTGATCATACCATACATATCTATCTACATTTTAGCACCCATTTGAGAATCAAAACGCTGATGTGTTTCTATACTCACCATATTACGAAACACAACGGCGTACAGCTGCTATTTTACACTGATATACCCCGGTCATGTCGACAATGCTACTCCATAATATTGGTGTAGTGTGGCTCTACCAGGTAAATAGACAATATGAAAACTTAACTATGATAACCTAGAGTTGTTTTTGTTATTAAAATGATAGTATAATATGTTAGTGCTTACCACAAACTTACTAGAAACACGCGTCTGCTCGCTATAATCTTGTAGGTGTTCTGTTATAGTGTACTTAGACTCTCAGTGTAGATTATGCACTTGCTGCGGTTTTTAAATTTATGTAGCGTGCCTTGAACCTTGTCACGAAGTACTGTATGCACAACTCTCTCCCTTTGTCTTGCTAGTATGTTGTGATATTTAAGTGCCTAAGATTTGTATGTTTTAGTAAAAGCTAGGATAAATTAATATTAACGGATTTGAAATGTTATATATTCTGTAAAACCCATTTTAATTTTGGGCAGTAAAACGCTAATTTCAGTTGTAAAAGTTTTTGGTAAAATGTTGTTAATTTGTTATATAACGTAGGAGGGTTCGGATACCGTGCAACTTTTGGGTAAAAAACTCTTTTCACGTTACGAACTGTAACCTAATTTAAAGGCTACATTTAATTATACGTACATAATATAACAAATAGCACAAATCTACGTGGTAATACGGGTTCATAACGTTTTTGCACAAAAAGGAATTATAATATATTTATGGAATTTATATATTTAGGAAATTGGTGATAAATATTATTTTTTTTACATTCACAATAAAAGTTTCTAATAAATACAATAGGTACTATTTAACATATTGTTGCGCGCCTAAGTTGATGTCTGGTACCTGGCACTAGCGCCATCTGGTGTCGGAGAACCAAGCGAGAAGGGATTTCTAGAAAATGACATTCCTGAATCCTCCACCAACAGCGCCATCTAGTATCGAATAGAAGAACTAAGATTTCTAGAAAGCCCCACACTCGAACTTTCTGCATCTGGTCGATCGGGGGCCCGTATTTGCTGCAATATTCTAGATGTTTCGGTGAAAGACCCCTATATAAAGCCGTTGATAGTCGCGATCGGGGCAGTATTGAATTGGCGATACAAGCGAAGCTTCAGAGTGAAATAAAGTGAACTAAAGTGATCAGTGCGATTAATTATTAGTGTGTTTTAAGTTTTAATTGGTGTTCGACAATTAAAGTGCCAATTTTGGTAATTTAATCGGTAGTTTTTATTATCACGAACCCTAAGCTCTTAACAATATAAATTGTACATGGACAGAATTACAGACTTATAACAATCATCTATAAAAAAGGAAAGAAACTGAAACATCCTACACAAGGTCTCTAATTCACTTGTCAAAGAATAAAATAAATATAAAGTAATATCGGTAGGCCCACAAATATTGCAGTTGTTATGTATGAACCCGCGATCAGCTGCACCGTACCGAAGCCCTCGAATTGTGCGTTTAGTATTGAAAGGTAGAGCTATTGCATAAATAATAAAATAATGTTTTTTTTTCTCTGTAACAAAGCAATATACTTAGAAAAAGCGTATTTTTTGCAACATGACCGTGTCTCCAGGGATAAGTAAATCAAAAATGCAAGACTACTAGAGGTATTAAAGCGGAGTTTAGAACCCAATGTTTTACCTACAGGGAATAAGTGAATGTGTCAATGTTGTTTATTTTTTACAATTTGGTGGCTTCTATAAAAATTCAATGGAGAATCTATTGCAGTAGCTCTTCAAAGTACCTTTTCTAAGAAAACTCTTCTCGAGTGAAGTCTTTGACGCAATAGAAAAATCTCGGAGCATTTTAGTGAACTAAGTCCTGTGCGTCCAAATGTGAGATAAATCATGAGAAGTGTAGTTTACAAGAAGTTGTTGCAACTATGATTAAGGAAGGAATATTTCGGTGGTTTAAAAACCTAGATAGAATGAATCCGGAAAGAGTAACAAGCATATTTATGCTGCAGACCGTAAGTAGCAGAATCGAAGAAGCATATTTATGTTGCAGACCGTAAGTAGCAGAATCGGTGAGGCAACCTATACGAAAGTTTATCGACTGAATTGGCTATAAATAAAAAAAATGATTATTAGTACCGTTAACCGACGAGAATGTTTTCGAATATATATGGATGTGAAAGAAACGAGAGAAGTCTGTCATATAAATAGATTTGTCAAGTGCGAATCGTGCCTAATAAAAGTCTGTAGTCTCTGACTTACCCACTGGGTTACAGTCTTCAAAGTTTATATTATGTCAATGTTTATCA